TAGTAGGCCTCCTTTAGTAGAGTAAGCTAAATATAAACTTAGACCTAAAGAACTCCTTCTTTATACTAAATATATAGTAGAGTATATTTAGCTTCTCCTAGACGCTATAGCTATATATAATAAGCTTAATAATATAGTAAGAGATTTTACTACCCTTTTATAAACTATGCTTATAATAAAAAGTAAATACTATAGAAAGAGAAGTAGAGGTAAGATTTAGTAGATAAAAAACTATAATACTACTTATAAAGATTAGAAATAATAATATAATATTACTTAGGACCTATAAGACTTAGAGATAAAAGCAGTAAAGAAAATTTAGGATAAGATAGTTATAAATATAAAAATAAATATATAGATTAGTTAAGTTAAAGGTATTAACTTAGTAAAAATACTATATAATATTATAAGCTAGCTGAACTCTAAGAGCTAGTTTTAATCCCCTCCTCTTTAAAGTAATAATAGTTTTATTATTAACTTTAATAAGAAGACCTTATATCTTAAGTAGAAACTATTAGAAGTTTATATAGTAGATAATAATATTTAGCTATAAGTTCCTATTATTCCCTACTAAATAATTCCTTTTAACCTAAAGGTCTACTTAGAGGAGGTATAAAGTACTATCTTAAAGGTAGGTAATACTACTCTAAGCACTAATAGTATTACTATTATAATACTTTCTATAGCTTAGCTATATATTAAGTTATATATCTATAGACTTTTTTAAGCTTACTTAATAGTAAGATATTACCCCTATTTATAGTAAGAAGCTAAGGTATTATTAATACTAAAGCTAAATAAGGATACTAGTACTTATAAAAGCTAGCAGCTTATCTTATTACTCTTAACTATTAGAAAAAAGCTTAAGAGACTTATTATAAGACGTATAGTATAGCTTAGTATAGAGTATAAAGTCCTCTACTTATAAGTTATAAGCGCCTTACTAAAACGCTCTTTAATAGATATTACTAGTATAGTAATATATAATATTAAGGTAGTACTTAATAAGGGTTAAATAGTAACCTTTATTACTATAAATATAGAGGGTGCTTTTAATATTATCCTAAAGAATAAGTTATACTAGCAGCTTTATTACTTTAGCTAGCTAGAGAATCTTATATCCTAAGTCTACTACCTAAATAATATATACTTAATAAGTATCTACTATAAGGGATATAAAACTCTAATAGCGCTATTAGCCTACAGGCTACTTTAAAGCTCTTTAGCTTTATTAATACTTTATTTTAACTATACTAATAAGCTTTACTATATTAGCTTTACTAAAACTTAATTTAGATATATAGATAACTATAATATCCTCTATATTAGAAATAACCTAGAGGAAATAACCTAAGCTATATAGAAAATCCTAAATAATATAATTACCTAGGGAAAAGAGAATATTACTAACTTTAATCTCTTAAAGACTAAACTAATCTACTTTATATAAAAATATAATTAGCTTACTCTTACTATTTAGTATAAGGACCTAATTATTTAGCTAAAAGAGGTTATAAGATAGCTTAGTATATACTTTAATAAAAACTTCTAATTTTATTACTATATTTAGGAATAGAAGAGTATAACTAAAGTAATAATAGGATATCTAAAGAGCTTAAATAAGGTCTATAGGGGTACTTTATTAATATAGATATATAAAATAGTTTATATTATAGTGCTCCTTAAAGTATACTTTAGCTTTAAGATTTAGTATTTTAGCTTTACTTAGCTAGGTATAAAGTTATAAGGGGATAATTACTTAAAAGTTAATACTAAATAGAAAGGGTTACTAGAGGGATTTTAGGTTGTAATTAATATTACGCTAAGAGGAGCTATATTAGTATAGTATATAATATTAATAAAAGCTTATATTAGAGAGATTAGTACTTTATTAATATACCTCCTTCTTAATACTATAAAGATAAGATTTACGCTTTATTTAAAAATGCTAGATAGAAATCACCTCTTTATTATATAAGTATAGAACTATAACTCCTTATATTAAGCTAGGAAGCCTATTAGGCTAACTATACTTATAGAAATAGTATTAAGTGTTCTATAAATTATAAGACTAATGCTATCCTTAAGGGATTTTAGCTTTATAGCACTACTAATAGAAGTAGTTAATAAAAAGATAGCTGTAAAGTAGTATATAGAATAGCTTAAGAGCTTATTATTAAGATAACTAGTAGTTTATACTAATAGTTTATAACTATCCTTAGAGGAAATAGGTTTTAGCTTTATAGTTTTCTATGATAATATAAGTATCTATAATAGTAGCTATAAGCTCCTTAAAGTAAAAGTCTTTAATGCTAAAGTAGAAGGAGTTAGGGTTAGCCTTATTATAGCACTCTACTTACTAAATAATAAAACTACTACTATTATAGTATACCTAAATAATTAAGCTATAATTTATTACTTATAAGAGGTACTACTAACCTTATTATAAGAAGCTATTTTAGACTTTAGATAACTAGTAAAGATTACTTTAATACCTATAGAGATCTAATAAACCCTTAGGTATAAAGATATATTAAGTAATAAATATACTAACTTCCTAGTGAAGTAAAAGTCTACTTAACCCTCTCTAGATTTATATATATAGCTACTTATAGTAGCTTATATAAAGTAGAGATTATAGGAATAGTAGCTTAAAGCTTTTAGAGAATAATAAGCCTAAAACTAGCCTAAATATTATATTAAGCTTAAACTTAATATCTTATTTAAATTAACCTAAGAGCTTAAGACTTTAGTGAGAAAAGAACTCTATTAGTTTATAGTAGCATAAAGTAGCTATAAAGACTTCATAGCTTACTATAAGCATTTTAACTACTAAGACGCTTATCTCTATTACTTATATAGAAAAGAGAAAACTCCTTTATACCTATTATTCTACTATAAAGTAAGTAAGTTTAAACTTTAAGTTACTAAAGCTAAATATACTACTATAAAGTTAAAATAAGAATAGCTTAATTTTATAGCGCTACTTTATTACTCTTAATTCTTTACTAAAATCTATCTATAATATAGATTAATTATAGATAATATTTAGCTAAAGCTAATTCTTAATCTCTAGCTTATACTTATAATATAATAAACCCCTATAAATATTTATTAAACCCTTATATCCCTACTAATAAAGTGCTTTTTAAAGGTAGGTATTTTAAGGGTTTTATTAGTTTAGTTATACTATATTACCTCTTAACCTATAAAACTCTAGTAATAATAGTTAGTATCTTAACCTTAGAAGGTATTAATATTAGTCTACTAGTAATCTTATTTAATAAGATATAAGTATTAATAGTTAATATCTTAACCCTAAAAGGTATTAATATTAGTTTACTACTACTCTACCTCTTATAAGCTTCTAGTAGTAATATTAAGTACCTTAACCCTAAAAAGTATTAATATTAAGCGTTATTATTATCTACTTAAGAAACTTTAGCTAAGCTATTAGCATTTTAGCTCTAAAAGGCGTTAATATTAGTTTAGTTACTAACTTAATCCCTTAAAACTTTATTATTAATAGTTAGTATTTTAACCTTAAGGGGTATTAATATTAGTTTACTATCACCTTTAACTTAATAAAATAGTACTTATTATTAATATCTTAACCTTAAGGGGGTATTAATACTAAGCGTAGATATTACTATTCTAGGAATATTAGTATTATAGAATCCTACTTTAAAGTTAATTTAGTATATACTCCTAAAGGAGATATAGTATCCTATATAGTCTTAAGTAACCTAGAAACTACTCTATATGTAATAATACTATAATAAGTCCTTTAAGTAGTTTTACTTTACTAAACTTACTATAATACTACTATAATATAAACCTTCTACCCCCTTCTATATAACCTATATATTTATACTTCTTTAGATTATACCTACTAAAGCTTTAAGTAAAACTAATAGGACTATAAGACTTACTTTATAGTATTAGATTATAGGAGTTCTTAATATACTATTATTCTCTTTTCGTATTATCTATTCTCTTTATTATCTTTCCTTAGAATATTTCTGAGCTAGCATAGCTAGGACTTATATATACATAAGTAGCGAGCATGATCGCCGGCGCAGACGCCTTATGCCCAAAAAGGGACGTAACAGGCGTTAAACAATAAAAAAAAAAAAAAAAAAAAAGTATGACTGGACGAATGATGGCGTGTACTGTCGATAAACATCAGCACTGCTCAGACTGATCTTCGCACTCCGCTATCGGCATAGGTACTGCCTACCCGCTCCTGTGAGAACTTCATGACAGCTTCGAGCTCCCGATAGTAGTCCACTTTCTCCGTCAAAGTTGAGTCAATCGGTATTTCCTTGACTGCTCTGACAGTAGGGCTATATTGTCTAGCGGGTCGATCGCATGTCTCCAGCCACACTGTGCCATAGGCACCTTGGCCTAACCGTCTCTTTCGCGTCCATCTTTCCTGTATCCGTATTTTCCATTCGCGTCCGGATGTCCCACGCTTGTAAAATGTATGTTGGGTATAGGCAGGGGAGAACGTTGTTTCGAGCTTCGATTCCTGCACCAGGTCCGACGACGGCGACATGCTGAATCATGCGGGGTCGTCAAGGGTTCTTGCTTGACAATGTCATATCGTGATCACCTCTTCTCGGCGAATATACCAGTTAGCCGCCAATGAAAACCATACATGAGCACACGTACTCACCACCCTCAAATAGCAATTCGGTTCGGTAACTTCTCGAATGTGGGTGTGAAGTGCTCGTTTGATCGTCAATCCGGGTCGTCAGCTTTACGCGCGGGGTCTTGGCCGTAATCCTCAGCCTGGTCGTAAGGCCTGCCTGCATGGGACCTTGTATCTGTATTCGCCAACACCTGCATTACAGCGGGACCCAGACCCGCCAGCCCCAGTCAAACTAGATACAAAAAGGCAGCCTGTTTGTTGTGCATTGAATTTACCTCGTCCTTGCCGCTTTTCTTTCGCGTTTAGTTTGCGTACCGATCTAGTCTTAATATAGCCCAACGATCCAATGTCAGTTGAGTTAGTTTTAGCTGCCGTTTCGGCTGCAGACCTATGTCTCACGTATGGTTACGAACTTCCAGTTACCCAAGTGCAAAAGCTTTACTCACAGTACACAGATATGGAAAAAGGTTAATCGAAGCCTATCGAGATATCCAAGGTGCCACGGAAGCTGTCCAATCCAGACTGCTCATCGTAGAGGCCATCTGGAGCAAGACTGCGATTCAAGTCGAGTTTGTCAAGAGAATCGCGGAAGCACTGGAGGAGGACCATTGTCGCATTCACGTCGAAGTTCTAGAGGTTCTCAAAAGCAAGTTAATCTTGGCAATTTCGAGAATCCAATCGGTGGTCAAATCGGGACCCGAGTCATCTGTTAAGAGATGGAAGTATGCGAGGGTTCGAGAGGCAATCGACAACTCAATTACCCAGCTTCAACAGTGGCAAACTATCTTTGACCCGACGTGGTACTTGATACTTCGGATGGGAAACAAGTTGATCGACGATGAGTTGTCCAAGCACGGCGACACAGAAAGCGAAACGATGTTCTTGCAAGCAGCCAAACCTAGCAATACGCTAGCATCTGCACAGAGTATCCGAAGTATGGTGAAGGGAGACGGGAGCAAAGAGATGCATATCACACTTCCAGAAGATGGTCTGGATTGGGCCAACACCTGGGCCATCAAATACTCTAGCACGGTTTTGATTCGCAGGAAAGCTTCCGAGAAACTGTTTGCAGTAGACGCCATTGCTTGCGACAGTAGCTACGACCTGTCCCGCCTGAGAACAGACACTGAGAGCCTTGCCAAGAAGCTGAAAAGAGAGGACATAGAGCTCTTTGGTCTTCTGCCTTGCAAAGGCGTTGTCAAGCGTAAAAGCCCCGAGACAAAAAGGCTTGCGTCAATGAGCTTGGCCTTCCAACTACCTGGCACCGATTTGCGCAGACCTCCCATCAGCTTACGAAATCTTTTGCTACAGGAGCGCATGCTTAGCTTGACTCGAGTTGTGGAAATTGCGAAACAGCTGGCCAGAGCGGTTAGCTTCATCCACACCCTGGACTTTGTTCACAAGAACATCCGCCCCGAAACCATTTTAATATTTCCCGATCACGGCTCCGAAAAGTCTTGCGAGATATTCTCGGCATACCTCCTTGGCTTCGACTCTTTCCGCAATGTGAACTTCCACACGCTGAAGGTTGGCGACGATGCGTGGGAGAGGAACCTATACAGGCACCCGACTCGCCAGGGCATCCAGGCCCAGGAAGCGTACATCATGCAACATGATGTATACAGCCTCGGAGTTTGTCTTCTTGAGCTTGGATTGTGGGACAGTTTTGTGGAATACAACTCCGGTGCGGGCGAGGCCAGCAGTAAAAAGGTGCCAGGGATGGGACTAGGGTTGAGCCTGGCCGATTTCAAGTTCCAGCCAGGCAATATTGAGCAAACGCAGCAGATCAAGAATCAGCTGGTGAGCCTGGCGAAGGACCGCTTGCCAACTCGAATGGGGGACAAGTATGCTTCCGTGGTAATCACTTGTCTCACTTGTCTGGATGAAGACAGCGATGATTTTGACGGAGATGACATGCAGGACGAAGATGGAATTTTGGTAGGGGTAAGATTTATCGAGAAGGGTTTGATGAAACTAGGGGAAATCAGTCTGTTACGATCGAGACGTGCTAAGAGTTCCCTCCACTATGGACTTTTGATTTTTTTAATAATTCTGAATATAATATCAACTTTTCTTGAGGGTTAATTGTGCCAAATCATCAGATCCATCGTATGATTCGTATGTTTTGGCACACAGCATATGGTGCATTTTCACATTGATCCCATCGAAGGGTTCTTTTGTTGTCCCATTAAGACTGTCCGTAATTTGGCTGACGACAAGCTTGATCTCCACTGAAATCCTTCCAAAGCGCACTTCCTTCACGCCCGATCTGCTCGAGCCCAAGTAGGCTCTGTGACAAAAGATGATGCCTTCATCCCATCCCAACCAGCGGCATCAGATTATCTTTACACACCCGAATCGTTCTGAAGGTTGGTAGAGTCGACGCAGGAAGGATAGTATGGGTCGTCCGTTGTGTTCGTGTTTCCTGGCCACATGTTCCTGCAGTCATATGCCCAGCTGTTCCAGCTGGCGCAAAGCGAATGGGCTGTGTCAAGGGCGGTGGAGTTTCCTGCAGGCCAAATCACGTTGGCTGCTCCCTGCCGCTCAAGAATCTGCAAAGATAGGCCGCCAGAGGCGTGTAACGCGATGTGGCAATGCATTAACCACACGCCGGGGTTATCGGCCTTGAAAGCAATGACAACGTGTCCGTCTGTCGGAACCGACACCACATCACGGCGGGGAAAGTTGACGTTGGTTGTATTAGGATAGAAGCTGCTAGCGTTGAAGCCAGCAGTGTCGTTTTGTTCAACGATGGCGAAGTCGTGGCCGTGAAGGTGGATCTAATGACGAGTGAGTCTTCTCAGGCCCATACAATATGTGACATTAAGGCCATCACTTACTGGATGCGGTCCAAAAGCTGGTTGGTTGATAACCAGGTATACCTGAGAATGGCAGTCAGCGATACGGCTGTCTACAGAAAGCTTCAAAGATACCAGCCGCTGTCCATCGACAACGCGACTTGAGGGATTCGGTCTTACAAAGTCTGTGTCTGTGTAGTTTTCCGGCACAACAACCCAACCCACCGGCCACTCATCCCCAACATTGTCTAAATTCAAGAAGGTCGGGTTGCCGTATGTCGTTTGGAATGGTGTCACAGCCTTGTCGCCGGGCCGCTCGAAGGCAAGGAAGGACGTGGCGTATTGCCCAGAAGTCAAATTCACGACGCCAAATACCTCTCCGTTTCCGTTTCCGTTTGCCGCTTTGGTCACCTGCCACGGGAGCATGGGCTGTAACTGATCATTGATGGACTTGTCGGACTGGGTGAGATCGACTTTCCACGGAGTGGACGTGGGATCAGCCGTGCTGGTTTTGTCATAGCGGAGAATACCAGTCTTCATGTAATTCTGCATATCCACAGGGCGGTCTGTTGGTGGCTGTGGTTGAAAGAATTTGAAAAGTGAAGATCCATCCATGCCATATGTCCGAATCCAGAAGTTGCGGTCCTCTGGAACAGGGTTATAAGGGTCGTTCGAACTGTCTGGCTCCGGCACTGCCTCGACGATGACGTTATATCTCTGGCCGATTGCGAGGAAGATTGAGGTGGTCACGAAAGGCTTGACGGGGACGAAGTCGGCCTCCACAACTGTCAGCCAATGATTATCAATCGAAAAAACAAAGGCGTTGTCAAAGGCCGTATTGATTAAGCGAAGGAGATAGCGCGTTGCACCAGTTGCAGGGTTAGGATCGGTGTCGTCGAAAATTATCTCAAAGCCAGGTGGAATGTCTTCGGTGTTTTCGATCGCGCCCCCCGTAAATCGATTTATGTTGCCGACTCCACCCAGGAGAATATCCATTGTGTCTGGGTCTTTGTAGATGTTTTGAAAGGCACTGTTGTTGGCTGCAGTTGACAAGTTAGCTGTTAATTTCACATAGCAGTCATGAATGGCAAACATCATCGATGACCGCGGCATTTGGCAGGAAGAACAACTTCGAGTAACTTACCCCAATCGGTGATTGTGATCGGCTCGATTGCAACGTCATATGCATAAGAAGTTGGTCCATGTATAGTCTTCTAGTTGTGAGTAGATCATGCCTAAGACGACGACGGTCGTCAATAGAGTCGAGGTAAAGCACTTACGATAGGTGCTTGTAGTCCATCAGCGTACTGCACGGAGTAGTGGCTGTGATACCACGAGGTACCATACTGGGTTGCGTTCCATCGATAGACAAACTCAGACCCTGGGGCAATTGGGCACTGCGTGATACCATTGACACCATCCATATGCATCGTCTGCCACTGCCGAAGACCGTGCCAGTGAATACTGGTTCCGTTGTAAGCGAGAGAGTTGCGCACATGGATTTCCACGGTGTCACCCCAGCAGGCCTCAATGAGCGGTCCAGGGAAGGACCCGTTGAAAAGCTTGCCTTGGCCAAAGTCCAGTCCATTAGCGTTGACAGAGCCGTCGGTCACGTCGAGATAATACACGCGCGGGACTCCTACGGGTGTTTGAGTAATATTCTCGTAGTCAGTCGTGATGTTGTATTCTTCCCCTGTTTGAGGATTGCGCAGCCAACAGCCGGGGTCCTCAGGTGTTGCGCAAGGCTCGAAGCCAGGCATACTTTTGGAATAGTCGCACCAGAAATCATCGATATTGCTGCCGGGAGGCCTGAAGATGGGGGTTCCGGGTTTGACAGCTTCTATGCTAGGGCGAGACGCGCCAAACTTGCCTCCTATGGGGTATTGGAGGCCCTGGCTGAGAAAGGGTGATCCGAATAGCGAGTTGGTAACATCAGTGACGATGACCCAAACATGGCGAAGGGACAGCATGTTGGGTTATTTTGCTAATTGAGAGGCGAGTAGAGAGCTTGTTTCTTAGGCTGTGCATCGATAATAGCCCATAGCAAAGGATATTCAATCTCTTTTAATCCTGCCTATTTGGCCTACTCCACACCAAACCTCAAAAGTGATCAACACTGTCTTTTCTCACGCACGGAGGAATTGTCCTGGCGACGACACATTGAGGCTTGCGAAGGGCGAACTCAAAGTCGAAAGGGCTTGTGCTGGAACTTGGTGGCGCTTTTCGTCACATTCGAAACCGTCTCTCTAGGGGTCGCTGCCAAGGAATTCTTGTTCGACCTCAGAATTCCATCGCAATGGCAAAATGGCGGCGAAACGCAGGTCAAGACCTAAGATCCCAACGGAATCGAATGCCATTGTTGACTGCGCTCATGCGAACCAGTTGGAGGTATTGTGGACTTTTCTGTGATGGCCCTACGAAACCTCGAGCATCGGGAAAACTGGCTGTGGGCAAACTCGTGATTTAGGATGGACATCACGGAGTGGACATTCGGGCCTCATGGCAACTCCCACCGGTCCAGCAAAAGGGACGGGCCGGCACGTGGCCGCCAAGCAATTAAGGGCGGCGTTCCGTGCCGCAATAAGACAACATCAGAAGAGAGTTCGAGCCGGTATTTCCACTGGCCTGAATGCAGCCAGCCAACCGCCATGATCTACGGATGCAGGTGAGGGATTGAACGGTCGACTCTCAGCCAAGCGCGCATTTGAGCAGCTGAAAGCTTTCAGCTCCTCGCGCTTGTTTCAAACCGGGTCAATTGTGTTCGTTCTGGAGCGTGGAAGACAGAAGCGGGAATGGGGGATTGCCGTGTCAAGCGTTGAAAACTGGCACGCAAGCGTCTCACATTGACCTCCAGCCAATCAGGCAAGCCATTTCATGTTCTTCTCCATGCCACCACTTCTTGTCAAAACGTCCAACCAATTGTTTCGGCCGATAGACATCGTGCGATGTGTCTCAGCGTCTCCTTCTCCCGTGATTATGGCAACGGGCTACCCTTACCGGGCATGGGTAACAAGAGACTTTCTGTATAGTATGCTATGATTCGGCGACAACGAGCAATTCTTGACGAATCTCGTAGATGAACCCCTCCTGACTCTTGTTGTCTTTTACGGGGAATCAAATTTCCGCAGCATACCCACATTGATCTTCATCAACGAAGGATATCGTTAGTCAGCGGCCTGGAGATTCCCGCCGACATTTGATACGATCATTTACATGCGGCCTGAAGTAGGTGCTGCCAAATGGATTCGCGATCAAAAGAGAATAGTTGGCTGGGCTTGGAGTCGATGATAGAGGAGCACCTAACACGGAAACGGTGATGTGATGGAAAGCCATTACATTATGAGGGAAGTAACATCACTAGGATACAAGACTGGAGCACGGATGAGATAAAAATATTATTCTTACCTTGTGTACTCTGTACGGATACCAAATTTGCCAGACAGTCCCTAGTCTGCAGACCAGACTCCGTGTTGCATGCTTAGGCGCTGTATCCGTACAGATTTTCAAATCAGGATACAACGTCACTGCAAGGCGTTCTTCAGAATGCTACTTTGTACTCCGCAAAGTCCATGGGCCTTGATACGAGGCTTGCATTGATGAGGCGAGACCGAAATGTGGGTTCGGAAGAGGTTTCGTCAACCCGGAAATGCAACCGTTTTCGGTTTAGCCAATGAAGTGGGTTCAATCAAGGGCCGCGACTTGGCGGAAAATCCATTTTTCGTAATGGCCCACAGTCCCATCAACTCTTCTGATAAGAGGTTCGTCGGCTATCAATGACTGAGTGGAAACGGGGCAGAAGCGAGCAGCAAAACGGAGAGAACAAGGTATATGGCCAGATTACAGCCTGTGCCAGCTGTCAAGCTTCTTCGGTGGGCAAAGGCAACATTGATCCAGTCGAGATGTCAAAGAAGACACAAGTTGGGAACATGGATACTTGACGTTTGGAACTAGGGCAGCGAAACCTTGTCTTGGTAACCACATTACTTTGTTGTTAAACTATAGTACATTATCTTCGTGGTTTACATATCTCTCATCAAACGCGCAGTCTCTTCCAGACTCCTGGGTATTGCCTAGGTATATCCTCTGTGAGCCTCTAATGATCTCGCACACAAATGCACCGAGGACGATGTTGATCCGGATCAACACTCGGGTACAGAGCGGAGCTCCAGAGCTCACGCATAATCTGCTCTCCGTGGCATGCCTCTAGACGCATCTTTGGGCGTGCGCATCTGTCTTCCTTGACGAGTGCCAACATAGACGTCGGATTATTCCCTGTTCAACCGATTTACCGGACCTCAACCTTGTACTCGCTCTTGACCTGAATGCCCCCATTATACCTCGCTTGATCGTCGAAGCTGCGATCGTCGCTACGGTTGTCAGCGAACGCGCTGGTCTGGTTTCCCCCCTTCGGCTTCACGATGTGCTCCTGGCTACCAACCGATCCGTCGTCGGGAATTCTCTCGTGGTCTTCCCTCAAGCGCGATCGCTTGTGGTTCGAGCCGGTACCGCCGAAGGTGACGAGTCCGGTGGGGGTATGGCTGTTCGCGGTCGATCCCTTGTGGCGGCTGGGGAAGAGGGGCTTGATCGAGGGCGCGTTGGTGCAGATGATACCGATAACCTGCAAGTCAAAATGTTAGAGAAGCGCTCCCTGGTAAATACAATGTGGGGAGTTCTTACGGTTTCACGGATAGACCAGTTAAGACCCAGATCAAGTCTCTCGGGCGTCTGCAGGCAGATGATGCAGCGGAGAAGGGTGCAGATGACAATGAAGAAACCGGCGCAGAACATCAAACCGAAGGACAGTTTCCTGGTATGCTGTGTTAGTGCACGCCCTAGAGGATTGGCAATAATGAGGAAAACCTACCTCTTCAACGTGGTTTGCAACCTCCACAGCAGGGGGATCGGGATGTACATGATCAAAATATCGGTGCTATGGAATACAAAGTTAGCCAATGAATTGCGGATATCAGACATGCAGCAGCCAATCTTACAAAACATTGGTTGTGACCAGCGCGTAGTACTTGGACCTATTCTGGGTACAATCATCTTCAGGCAGGTGTTAGTATCGTCATACGTGATTAATCAAAAGATTGATCAGGAAGCTATCACGTACCTCCGGCGTAGGGGTACACCTGCCAAAGCCTGTGGATCGGGCGGCAGTGACCAGTGATGACTGCAAGAGTTGCCAAGTATGCGGCAACGGTGATAACAGAGACCACCTTGACCAGGCGTTCCTCGGGGAGAGACTTGCTGCACATAGTGTTAGCGGCTAGGAAATTCTGTAACCTCTTCCGAATTGGGACTGGCTTACGTGACCCTGAAGAAGAAAAACAGCATGATGCCCTTCAAACTCCAGATCAAGCTGACGTAAATGTACCACGCCGCGAACAGCCACTTAGCGCCGGTCTCGTGACTCTTGTACTCTTCGGGAGTCAATGTGAGGGCAACTGCATCTGTCATGCCAGTAATGCTTCCCTTCTCAACTAAAGTCGCGGTGTTAGAGCAGTTACGAGGTGGTCACAAGGGCGTCGCAATTACCAATGATCTGGCACATCATGACCTCAAACTAAGGGGTTGTCAGCCAAAATCCCGCCGCGCCCACTCGCTGTGTCGCGTGACATACTGTGAAGAATAGAATGGCTGAAATCGCCAAATAATCGTCGCCTTGCCATTTCCAGCCAACCATCTTGCACCGACTGAAGACGCGGAGAAACAGGACGAGTATGCCGATGGCATATTCCACCCACATCTCAATGACGGTGGGCCATAGAGACTCTGGTACCAATCCCATGTTGGCTGCTGTGCGGTCGCGACCGTCTTCCTGCTCACGACAATCAAAGAAAAAGATGAGTAAACAAGGTCTAAAAATGTCCGGCCCAAGACTAACGCAAGGTGGAGGGGAAATGTCCGACTGATGAAGGAGGTTTATCAACAAGCAGGAGGAATCTCCAAACAATCCAAATCGGGACGATGCAAGGTCTTTGAATTGCAATTGCAAAACTCGGACGCTTTTCCGGGTTGGCCTTCAGATTCTATTCGGCAGTTGCGATCGACCAAGCACCCGGTTCCTGAATCGCGGCAGCCTACGGCAGGGCCAATCCAATACGAAATGAATGTGGGCTGAGGTGGTAATTTGAAGTCCTACGGAGACAGTTCCGGGGGTTCCTGAGGGAAGATGGAGCTCAGTGTCAGGGTCCACAGCGAATGTATCGGCCGTTGGCGAGTATTACCCCTTTCCTGTTTTCTCTCTCTCTTTCGTCCGGGGAACACTCGACACCCAACAGCTCTTTGCAAGACGCTTCTAAGCGACGCGATCAGCGAAAATTTTGCCTAAAGGGCGCTGCCGTGAAATCTCACAGTGATCAAGCGAATAAGTGTCACGTCAGGGGGTCCAGTTCGCACTGACCTCCGGATCGTGAATGCGTTGCCGCCAGTGGCGGCGCTGCATGGAACATGGAAGGTTGTGGTATCATTTTAGAAGATGAGCTCCGCTGCAGATACTGCACAAGAGTAGCATTCCTAATTACGCGATCACGCAATGACAATATGCATTCTGGAGTTGGTGGACTCTGGATATGTTTGTTGGCCGTTGAACCGCGACTCTGGGACGTCCGTGTTCCGTTGACTCCATTCCCCAACTCGAAGTGATTGTCAAGTGATCTGACCTCTTCGTCTAATTTTGTGGTATTCGTGCAACCTTGTAGGTTCTCGCAAAACATGGATATGTTCATTTCTGCATCTTTCCAGTCATGGACTGCTCCGGCCGGCAAGTGCGTCGTTTTAATACCCAAAGTGGAGAAAGCTGGAGACGGTCTCTCCCGGGGAGGGGAGCCGGGAGATGGATCCTTTGCTGGGGGCCCCTGTTAAACTTCTGACATACACCGCCAGCCGCTGAACTCTATTTTGACCAGGACTGACTCGCTCGACCATAATACACGGGAGCTGATTGGCTTGAAGCATGGAAGTGCTT